CATCATCGTCATCATCATCATCAGCAGCAGCAGCAGCATCACCATCATCATCATCATCATCAGCAGCAGCAGCAGCAGCAGCATCGTCAGCTTCAATCTCAGAAACCGCACACGCATTAGTCAGTGCTGCTGCAGTTGCGTTTGCCGATGATATGGAAAATGAAAGGGTTGATAACTAGGCCAAGAAAGCAGTAGCCGTTTCAATTAATGCATGCCAGTGGAATTTCATTGGGGAGATCCGGCGGAAAAGCTATGCACTGAAGGCAGCAACTGGGATGCATGCGCTCCTGAGACTGGCCCATTTTTGTCAGTGTTGAGGTGTCCCGTCACGGGGTATCCATCTACGAAGACGGCAATGAACAGAGCAACTGAGTTGGCTGGTAAGGACTGTTATATTTAACTGTTGATCAGTTGTTTGACCTAGCCTGACTGGCGAGGAAAGAGCTCTCCAACTATGTCGGTCGAGTGGCATACGAAGCACGTGATCTAATCAGCGCAACCTATGAAAAGTGGTCAGTTCATCTATCGTGGTGAGTTATTTCTCCCGATCTACTTCTGCAAGGCTGAATTAGGAAAATGCACAGAACAGACCGATGGTCAAATTGTGGAAGTTTTTTCAACGTCCTCCCTTTGCGATGAGGATGAGATTTCTGGCCCATGCAACAACAAAGCATCCATCGCATCATCGTGACCATGAAAGATAGCAGGTTTGCGCTTCAAGTGATGCCGTTTGAAAGAACTGTGGGGTCTTCCTCCCCCATCCGAATGAAATTATCGCATCTGACTAATCCACCGGGACAGATACGAATTCCCAGGCAAGAAAATTTCTCTACAGTCTCAATCGGTCCATTCCTTCTGCTTTTTCTCCACAAAACCGAAAAACCACGTGGCTTGTGTACACGCTAACACTGACGGATTCTTGGAGTGCATCTCACTTCTCGGGGCAACCACACAATACACGTCACAAAAGCTATACTTCCACCCTTTCGTCATAAAGGCGAGGCCCATTATTGTGTAAGTCATCTGCTAGACACAGGCTCATTTTCCGACAGATAGTGTGAAACGATATTGTACATGTGCACTTTTGCGGGAACTCCCAATCGATCTTTTGGTCGATTCGCACTCTCAAGTGTCCTTAATCCGTGATGTGACCCTAGCAATGATTAGATTTGAACAAATACGCAAACAGCGCGAGGACTCGATGACCTTGAACTACGTTAATACGGGACTTCCGGTCTGCTCTGTATTCTTTCATTGTGAACAATACCACACGTACTTAAATACATCACTGTGAAAACCTGAAAACGTACTCGTGCAGAGTGTCATTGGGTCAGTGTGGCTCTTATTCTCAGAGTAATTGTACTCGTGGGAAATACATTTATGCCTATTGGGGAACAGGAGATGCACAATCGTTTTCTGTGTCCTTGAGGCCGTGAGGACAGCGTAAACAAAACTCGAATTGTGTCTGATAATTCAGTGGTACAGTTACAATGAATATCTTGATCCGTATTCGAACTTTGCTATGAACGCACTACTATCGAGCGGGTCGAAATTCCGTCTCCGTTGACCTAAGAGCGTAGAAAAGCAATGTGAGAAGTTCTGTAGGTTAGATTTGGTTCCTTCTTCGTCGTTTAGCTTACGACATTTTAAAGCACTGCTGATAGTCAAACACCATGACTGCTATGGGTAACGTTCGCGGACTCATAAAAGAAAGCCTTGGTGTTAGCACAACTTCAGGCCACTGACTGTACCGGACAAATAAGCCAACCTGTGTATATTACAAAAAGTATAAAAACCGTTGTCTTGTCTGTTTGTAATGTTCTGAGGCACTCTCTGACATTTTTACAACCGACTGGTTCTAACACTTATTCGGTCTAGTCCTAGGCCCTCGACCCGGCAGCCATCGGCTGGTTGTTATATTGGATAAATGACCTAAGAATTCGTGAGCGACAAGTCGATGTATGAAGTTTGGATTCCATCCAGTAAGTGAAGTTGATCTGTGCTAGAAACCGCGAGGCGTGGTGTGGTGGGTTCATGTTACGTTAAGCATTGTTAGTGCCCATTTGAGGAGTATTCAAGGAGACACGAATCCAACATTTTCCGGATTAAAATTGGGTGACTTATCAGAAATAATGTTTGAGGAGCTGCTGGCCTGACTACTCAACTGTGGCTGTGGTGATCAGTGGACGATCCTCAGTTCAACGGGCTGAAGACACTTCTGGATGAAATGTATTGTGGGTTTGGCTTGTAATGCACAAGCTAGACTCACGTCAACGAGTGATTAAGGCAGGTTTATGATGGCCTTAATCGTGGTCCTTAAATTGGCCATGGAGTTCGTGCCTTGTCGATTTGAGTACCAATGTCCCCAGAAAATAGGACATGAAAAATAAGCGCTTACAGTTATTCTGTTACTATGCTATCAGAGCCTTGAACATAACCTTTAGGCTAACATGCGTTATATTTGAATTTATTGAGCAGTATCGCTGCTGATCAATGACTGCTGTGCATAGTGCTAGACAAAAAGTTACTTAAATATCTTCGTAATAAGATCGAAAGAGTAATAGGTCAATTATCCCCGCGCAGTGAACTGATATGGAGAAGCGAAATCCAACTCAAGCAACAAGTATTCTGACTACTAGGAGATAGTGGACTGATTTGCAACAGGTTCATGCTTATTTGGCTCAGTGGAGTAGAAACTACTGGATTTCGCAACCTTTGGCTGCCTCAGTGGACAGATTTTGCGAAGACTAAACCAACCTGGGATTCAGGAATGCTTTTTATTCTACTTGACCAGATACCACTAGCGCCTTCCATCAGTAGTACAGCGCTTACACTGGTATTAAAAACGGAAATATCAATCCTGAGCTGAGTTTCTCGCGTAAAAGTGTATTATTTGGTCATTTCTATTCGATCATGGCTGGGCAGTAAGGTGGCTTGCCTGTACCTAAAGCTAACTGCCATCGTGTTGGACAAGTGCATTGGGTCAGTAGCTTCACTTTTATACTTTCCGGAATTTCAGTACCTGGGGCATCAAAGGTTAATGCGTTTATTCAATCAGGTGCAGAACCAGGCTAGGTGGTTCAGTCACTTTATCTTCACGAGAAAAAACCAACTCATTGAGGATGTAACGCGGTACCCTTCGAAATAAGCTATCTTGACAATGTAACACCGTGTTGCCGTCACATGACTAATGTAGCAGCTGCATTTGGTCACGCATATTGTCTAGCGTGTACTTGAGGATATCCGATTCTCCAACTTCTGTAGGGACCAACTTATAAGACTGACCAAGACTTACCTAAGCTATGAAGTGTACTTTCCTAGGAGGATGGAGTAAGCTACTGAACTAGGCTTTCGGGATTTCTGCAGATTTCTTCGCCACTAGAAGTGCCTTCAACTAGGTCATAAAATGCACCTGTGCACATGGAAAACCTGTGCAACTTACGAACAAAACATGAAATACTAGAACGAGATCGCAGAAGCACAGATTTGTCAGCAACCTATGCATGTGTATTCCCTCGGTGGAGATAACTGATAGTTACTGTGGAGAGATTTTGGAATTTTGATGAGCGGCGTTTTAGCCAAAGTGCGAGATAATCAACCTAGTGATTAGCCGTTCCTGGCCGAATGGCGCATTGTTTAGACTGCTGGTCTGGAGGTCACGGGTTCGAGACTCTTTTGAGTTTTGTGAGGTGCTCGCTGGAAAAATTCCCCATATGGAGGACAACCTGTACAATCTTTCTCAATTTTTCAGCATAGATTGCCTTCAGTTGCAGAACTAAACCTTGACTCAGACGCGATGCCTTTGGAAGTGAAGTCAGGCAAACATTGTGGCTCCTATCATCCACCGTCACTGCTGGTCAAAGAGGGCCAACTTCTACTTTGTTCCATGATCGTCTTTTCTTTAGAAAAAATACCAGCATAGAGTCTGCTATTCGGTGACTACCTTCAGTAACGCAGGATCGTTGCCGCAAGAGCCCGGGCAGAATAGCTGAATATTATTCTTCAACCTGCACAGAACTCATAAATATCAAATTACTGTTACTCGCCGACGCCAGCGGATAGTAGTATCCTTAGTTTACTATTATCCAACTTTTCACCCTATCCAAGGGTTATACCGATTTCCAATTCCCCTATCCGTTGAAAGTGGGCTCATACTAACAGAACAGGAGAGCCTTCCGTTCTCCTAACTTCTGTCCATAAATTTGCTATCGATTATATTCTGTTTCCTCGGATTTATTTTCCCTGATTTTTTCACCCGTGGATTGAACTGAGAAATATTACTGCCATAAATTTGAAACGTCTACAGGTGTACTGGAATTTATGTGGGAAAGTAGCCGTTCGAATTTGTAGCAACCATATGATTAGGTGTTTGTTTCTTTCTTCTTCCAACTTTCTCCCTCCCGTTCGCTGATCACTCACCGAGGACATGTCTGCCCCTTGTACTCATTTCAAATGATCTCCATCAGGGGATCGAATTATATATTCTCCTAGTCAACTCCATTAATCTGATTACCAGCCTCGAAGTTAATCTGATTTTGTTATATGTTTCACTTCACAAAGTAGATTTATTCTTTATGTGGAGCCGTTGCAAAGTTTGACGCTAGAAACTCGTTCACTTGAATCGATTTACCTTGTATTACCCGTGGGAGTTGCCCAAAAGCGGAAAACCAATGCCAATTGGAATAAGTGCGCAGTTATGTTTAAAGAAGTGCAATGAACAGGAAAAGAGGAGTAATCGTCGTTGTAAGAAGGCGATAACTGATTACGAAACCATTTAGTTGAACCGAATGCGCTGTGTCTGGTAGATAGTGGGAAGACGTAAAAAGGCTTATAATCCCTAAAAGCACCAGAAACAGTTCGAGCGAGGTAAGTCAGATGAGGTGACCTGAACAAAGAGAATCAACAAATCAGAAACCTCAGGAAACGGGAAATTGTTACATGTTTGGTGATGCGTGATGCGATCAGTTATGAAAAAGTAATTCTCTACGGATTGTGGGCTGCCTGAAGTTCGGTAGACATTATTTTAAGAGTGGATGCTTGTTTCTTCAGTTGACAAGAAACCACACAATTGATTTCTCGATGGTTCAGCGTTTTGACAAACTCACTGGAGAGACTGACCAAAAGAATCAGTCCACACGAGTGAGCCTAACGTCCACGCGGCGTTTCATTTAACGATGGGAACCGTTAAATTAAGCTTTTCGTGACTTAAGCTGCTTCCTCTATTGACTGAACCATAATCACACCAAAAACAGACCTTTTTAGGATGAATTACAGCGCGTGAAACGCAGCAGGGACCTCTCAACTCCTTCGTTTCGCTGAAAGTATAGACATGTAGATATTTCGTACGCCTCACCGAAATAGTTTTTGTCAAATGAACTTTACATTAGTATTCGACCAAAAATTCATCCACAGACAAAACAAGTGGCGATGCGTCAGACGGTTCTCACACATATACTTGAAAAACAGAGCAGACGTACAAAACGTGGTCTTGAGAAAGCATTCCGGTGATCACATATAAAATAAATAAATTTGCAATTCAGCTAAACAGTAACACACTAAACTACCTGGGTGGTATTTCAGACCTTTTTGAATGAAGATTTCATCCTGCAAGTGAAATCGGTCAATGCTAGAGAAACCAGAAGCAGTGAGCAGCTGTTTCATCCATGTTATATGTGCTGATTTGCCCATCTGTGGTATCTGCTGCTGACCCGCTCCAGTGCCTGATGCCGGAGAAAAAGACTCGCAGAAGAGAACACAACAGCTGTATTCCGAACGAGCGAGTGCGAGAGCTTGAGTTCGTGCGAGTGTGAAAATCAAGTGGTTCCAAGCTAGTCATTGGAGGGACACTGCCTAACTTGGTCCAATTCTGACGCGCGCAGACTAGCTTTGATACGAGGCTGTGACGCGCTGCATATTGTAGGAGCGTTGGAGAACACAAAGCTGTATTCCGAACGAGCGAGTGCGAGAGCTTGAGTTCGTGCGAGTGTGAAAATCAAGTGGTTCCAAGCTAGTCATTGGAGGGACACTGCCTAACTTGGTCCAATTCTGACGCGCGCAGACTAGCTTTGATACGAGGCTGTGACGCGCTGCATATTGTAGGAGCGTTGCCTGACCTTGATCAACGCTGACTCGCGCTGTCTGGGTTTGATACAAGGCTATGAGGCGCTGCATATCAGGGGGGACGTTGCCTGTCGGGTCGACATCTAGCGGAGCTGAGGGTTTCAGTAGATTTCGGGCACTCAGTGGTTGCTTTCAGGAATCTGACCTTCCTGATAATCCATATTGGGAATTTCCAAAAGTACGCATCTTACAAAAATCCAGTGGGGAGTTTCGGACGCATGATCTTCGGGCCACTAGTTTGAAAAAATAATGGCTTGGTCACTGTTGACTGATAAGTAGTATGATTAACCCTAACAGCCACTAGGAATTCACACCACATGGCCAGGTGTTGACGATATCTCAGGTGCTTATTTCAGTCATATGAATTTCATATGAATTTCCTGAGCCACTCAGGTAGCAACTCGTGGAAGCATATCGGACCATTACAAACGAGAAACTAATCTTGATTCGGTTGACTCTCCTGTCAAAACCAAATTCGTGCATAAAAGAGTATTTGTCAAGATCTGTCTGATTTGGGTTCAAGTAGAACATAAAAATGACAGAAACTCGGGAACTGCGCCTACCTGATGAGTCCCAATTTAAGGCAAAACCGGTCGTGGACTGTCAAACTGTTTTCAGCAAACTTATAAAATTGGTTACTGCTAGATAACGGTGTTGCCTGTTGTAATCTTAACAGAAAAACATTTGGGATACACATTAGAAATTAAGATTGGAGTAACTTTACGAAATCATATTTTTATGAGTACCTTAAATGCCCCATTATGACAGCAATACAAGATACCTATTCCTAAGTTGCCATATATATAACTCAAAAAGAAGAACAATCCGTTCGGCAATGGAGCTTTTCCATCTGAGTTGCTGTTACTCGAGAGGCCAGTGAACACGTTATATGAATTCTCTGAATAGAGAGCTATTTTCTGTCTAATTTTGAGTAACCCTGTTGACCAACCGCTTGTTGTTGCATGAGTCCGCTTTCAACAGTTAGTTCGGAGGTCGAGAGTTTCAATCACTATGGCGATTCGTGAGATGGCCAATGCCCATGATTTTCAGTAAGAATGCAACAGCTGTGTAACACTTGTAGGCTTTCAACTAATTTTGGTTATAGGGCGGTATCTGTGTTGACAGTTCTCAAATCTCGTTCCACTATCAATGACGTTGGAAGAATTGCTGTTTTGTACAGGAATTTAAGGACAGGAACAGTGTTAAACTATTCGTAGCCTGACCGCAGACTTCACCAGGACTGGCCAGTTACATCCTGCTCGATGACAGTTGAAATGAACAGCACTTCGTTATTTTAACTACATTTTCCGGCCTTACCCAGTCAAGATTCCGTGAAATCCCTGTCCCAAATAGCAAATTTTCCTCACTGAGCAAGGTGAACTAAGCCAACGGTAATCTGGATACACACTACAGGAATTCGTAAAAGAAAGTACTTTGGCCGGCCGAAGTAATACGTTAATGTTTCCAAACGTCTTTCAGCTGATGCTTTTATAACAGAAGCATCGGAAGACACGCAATGCAAGTGGTAAACTAAGCAAAATGTTCAGTTTGCATTTGGTTTACTCAGTTGGCCGGTGTGTCGACGCTTCTTTGAACGGAAATTTTACCGAACGAAGTGATTAAAGCACTTGTTTAAAAAAAGGAGGAAAAAGTCACAGCCAACTCAACCAATCGTTCGGTCTTCCTAATCAACCATAGACGAAGCTCCACCACCAATGCCGTGTAAGTTTAACCGTAAGAATCACATCACATCAGTCTGGTGTTTATGCTACACTAACTAAATCTACGATCGGAAGTAAAATAACTGTACTGATTTCGGTCCCTTGGTCAATATGTACAGAGTAGTTCACTGCGTCCCAAAGGATGGTTTCTCTAGAGGGCTAATTCTCTTCAGTGTTGCTGGACAGCTTTGACGGGGCATGATAGGCATTCATCCCCTTGAATCATTGTAACAATCAGAAAATGCGACCATCTTGTTTATTAGTAATACTTTCATCATCAGTAGTATCAGGAAATGATGATCATAATCGAACTTGTGTTCTGTGGGAACATTCTTTAGTATTCTGGAGTCGAAAATTCACGTCCGTTTAAATGACCTTATTTCGGGAGTTTTAAGGCTCGTTTAATTTATGTTTTGCTGTTACAAAAGACAACCACGTGTTGAACGAAAGATGGCCCAAAATGATGATTGCTCGCTGGCCAAACAATGACATTATCATACCACTCAGTTGCTGGAAGCTAGACGACTAATGGTCTTCGTTGTGGGATAGAATTCTGTCAGCTTAATGCAATCGGCTTTGCTGTCCGATATAACCGGAAAGTGAATCACTCTTTCGCAAACTGAACGAGGTGCTGCGCGTGTCACGCGATGAAATACCGCACGTGAAATCCGAAGCCAGTGTACACAATCCCACACCCAATCAAAGTCCTCCTGTTCAAAACAGTCCTTTTGTGGGACAAAACAGTGACTCATCCTGGCTAAGCCTGGCAAACCATATCCGTTAATCAATACGAAATAACGGTGTTTGGCCAGTTGACAGGAGACCCGGCGAAATCCCCGTATGTGACTAAATTTTGCATAAATCCTTGAGTGAGTTGTGATAGAGGGTGTTGTATTGTAAATTCAATGCATTTTCTTGTTTTCCTTTGGAGTATCTCCAGCGATTTCATTGGGGACGTACTACTGTCCTGAGTGTGAATCCCAACTAAGAGGTGTGGAAAAACTTATCAGTTTTAAAATTCTAGGCATCATTTGCCACGTCTACGCCTAACAGGAATCCATTCCTTATTTCACTTTCATGTGCATCAAACTAAATACCGTGTCGTATTGTCCACCAAGGTGAAAACCACATCAGACCTGTCTCGAACACTCGGCAGGCAATAACTATCTGTCGCTAGTAAGGGCGAAAACGGGACTGTATGTTCTTGGGTGTTAACGCCGTGTGCCATCGCGGCACTTTTAACCAAATTTGCGCATTTTCTTTCCAGAACGTCTGAAACGCCCCAGTCCATCCGGGAAACCAGCCTTCAAGCTTGATTTTGTTCCACTTGCATTTGGAGATGCAAAAAAACTCCTTGTGATTGCCTCCATGACGTCTTCCTCCATTCTTCGCAAAAAAACGGATCATAGACAAATATGACGAGTTCAAGGTTTCACAAGTCCCCACATCTTACCTGTCTGCTAGCTACCCGTTATTCGGGCAATGAAATTAGGGTCTAAATGGAGTTATTCCAGTATACAGCGTCTATTTTGTGGACTGTGCTTTTTGTTGATGTACAGTATGAAGAATCCTAGAGAGTGTGATATAAAGTACTTCTATATTCGTTTTGGGTATTCTATCAGAATAGCGTGTCGTTAGAATTTTGCAATGGCTTGAGCCAGCTAGGCAACCTCAACCTGTAAGACGACACCAGCTGATTGTGGATTTTAGACTCACATTATTTCACATAGTATTTTAGATTTGCAAAGGGCCATATAATTTGGTTAGCTTTTGCAACGTGGACGTATTTATGGAAAATAGAAAAAAATTCTGCTACCGAAACACCTGAGGGAATTATTTATATCACAGTCAAATAGTCGGGGGTGAATCGATTTTCACCCCATCGATCGAATCGACTACCTGCCTGCAGCAAGCCATCCTTGAGTATAGTCAGATTAATCATCGTCAAAGAACACAACCCGACGTGGTCAACAAATTCTTTTGGGCGCACAGTTTTAGCCATATCTGAGACGGTATCCCTATGGCAAAGAAACGTAGCAAGGCGGACAACGACAATTCTGCGGCCAGGATTGCCAGTATAGAAATGCATAGTCACGAACGCTGGACGAATTCTAGCAAGGTGTGTAGTAGGAAGTCTGTTTCCACAATTCCACAGGTGATGATGCCATGATAAGCGCAAAATGTGGATGTGTCTTGCACCAGGTTAGAGAACAAGTCAGCTGATGCACTCTCATTTGGTCAACCGGAGTGGCGGCATAAGCAACCCGTAATTGAGTCACTGAACAGCAAGAGAATAAGCAGCTTAATCGTTCAAAACCTGAGACGAATTAAGCGTGGTCACAGTGCGTTTGAAATTAATTTACTTCACTGGATAATATAATATGTTCGTCTACAAATCAAGATGGTCCAAGTGGTTAGAGCGCGAATTTACTGATCGGAAGGTCCGTGGTTCGAACCTGACCTCTGACTCTCGACTTCCCCTGTCTAAGCTTGGGCAACCTGGCAGTATACCAGCCATCGTGCAATCTTCGGGTGGCATGGCAGCTGGGCACCGAAAGGGTGCTACAGCCAAACGACTACAAATCGGTAGACAAAGCTGTAGATGCAACTTTTATCCGTCACGCATTGATGACGACGAGACATACGAAACCAAGCCAAACCCGGTGAACAGGACGTCAACTGACAAACAGATCAACGGTAAATTAGGCTAAATATTTTCAGCTTCAGAACTGCCCATGGAGAAGTCTGGAAAACCATTGTTTTTAACAAAGCTAGTGAGTGAACAGCCAAATGAAAGTGTGAAGCCTCTTCAGAAGATCTCAGCGATTTGGTAGAATACGACCTCCGATAGAAGCTGGTAACCCAGTGTTCCTAAACAACATCCTTTGTCTCTCAGTGAGGTAGTAACTTCGAACAGTACCATTCTCTAAATGTTCAACTATGTGATATGAGTCGTATTACGCACCTACCAGTCGTCTTTGAGCTTGTTATATGACATAGGGGCACTCCCTCCATGTAACTTACTTTTATGGTCACCACAGCTGGGGTGAAAATGAGTGTGGGTGACGTAATTCGTCAGAAATCACCTCAAAGAACTAGCTTTCGGGTAGCCTGGATTGTCTTAGCCTCACCTGTACGGACGGTTAGGAGTATTACGACTGCAAACGGTCTCACTACACACCAGCTCGCACGGCTATCATCATTTGTCATTCTGGAAAGAATAGGTCATTCCACCCCTGAAGCCTGGAGGCTAATGGTCTTATCCTAAAAATCTGCCATAATGGAGATATTGTGGAATTTAGGTAGCTCAAGTGCGCTGCTTGTTGTTAGTCTGTTAGCGGAGTTTCATCACCAATCGAAGTGCATTGCATGCTTGAGTGGGTGAATCCCTCCTCTTCTGCCTGAGTTTCATCATCGAAGTGCATTGCATGCTTGAGTGGGTGAATCCCTCCTCTTCTGCCTGTGATTATATAGCAACAAAACAGTATCTGCCTGCCAGCAAAGCGAATGTCATAGTGTGTGAAGAGTTTCGAATATTGATCGCGACGGAATTCTCTACCTACAGGTATTTAATTGCCTAACGGGGTGGCCAAAGAATTAATGAGTTAGGACTTGCGAATAGTCGGATTTCAGTTAGATGTATCAGCATACTA